GTTTTGGTGGTTTTATTACACTACTGATGAGGTCGTGGTGCTGCTGTGGAAGGCAGCCTGCACTCACACTTCTGTCCTGAGGAGGTCAGAAAGTGGACAGAGTGGCTCGTGACTCTTCAGGAAGCCAGTGCCAGGAAGGACACTTGTTCCCCCTGTCCCTGGGGAGATGGAGCAGATCCTGCTGAGCTGCTGCGGAACCACCAGCCCCAACCAGATCACTGCTGCAGTGATGCGAAGGACCTAAATCACAACCTGAAGGAAACACGTGGCCTCCACCTGCCTTCTTCAGCATCTTGTGCTTTTCCTCAGTAAAGGAAATAAGTGAGAGTCCCCATCCTTGCCAAGACCCCTTCCAATGTGATTAAACTTGACACTCTTAAGGTCTATCCTGGCAAAATTTCTAATCCTCGTGAAGCAAATTCCCAGGGATCAGCCTATCTTTTCCATGTCCTCACTGCTGCCCTCACTCTCACAATGACAGAGAAATAGCTGAGGGTGAATGACTGCTGTTCCTGGAGGGCACCTCACTCCCACGGAGCCCCCAGTGTCATTACAGAAAGCAATCAGAGCATCTCTTGTAGCAAGAGCACATGACAGACCCACACACCTCTGCAAACAAGCCAGAGAAGCATCAGAGCCTTCATCCCAGTGAAATGAGGGCTGGCAGTGCCCCTGCTTCTAGGAAGCAGGAACTTCTTTAAATGAAAGGCCCATGGCAGGGCCTGTGTGGGCGAGTCTCTGTGAATGTCAACCCGTCTTTTGCCAGCCCTGGAGCTGGGCTAGTCTTCTGCAGACCTCCACGGGAAATGGCAGGGGGGTTAGAGTAAATTTAAGGCAGGCCTGCAGCCGGGGGTATGGTACAGCAGTGCAAAAGCCACCCTTTGTCACCAGGCACGGCCTGGCTGAGAGGGCAGCAGGCTGTCCTGAAGCACGAGGACGCCAACTTTAGCTCTCATGAAACAGCCTGGAGCAAGCTTCCCCCTGTAACCACTTCCTAGCTGGAAAAGCTTCGAACCTTCAAGCCTCCCCTTGAAGAGGGGTCACTCATGAAGGTGTCCCCGTTGCTGCTGAATGGTGGAGGAGCAGGCCGGGTGTCCGCGAGCCTGTCTGCGTGGAGAGCACGCTCCTCTCCTGGGGAGCCGCTGGCTCCAGAAGGGAGTCACCACGCCTGTGCTCTGCATCAGTGGTTACCTGGGCCTGACACAAATAGAAATTAATCAAAAGCGGCTTTAAAAGCTCCCGCGTTCCCGGAGTAGAAAGTTCCTCTTGTTGAAATTGGGTGGGAGAGCTGCGGTTTTTCCTCAGTTCCTTTGATTTGTTGCCTAATGCAGGGGATGGATAAATCTCTAAGCCCTGAGATTTAGGGCAGGATTCATACTTTACATCTTCAGAAGACGTAGTAAACAGCCCTATACTCTCTAATCCTGGGAGCAGGTTTGTACCTGCTCGCTCTGTATAAACTGGACCAGCTACAACAATTTCACATTGTGGCTGAGTTCAAAACATCCCCTTGGGGATGAAATGTTTATTGCAGGAGATTTTTTTAAGATGGTTCCTGAAAGGAAGAAAGGGACTCCTACCTCAATACTCTGCACAGACCCTGGGGGACTGTCACATGGGCGCACAGAGTGGCCTGACCATGAGCAGTGAGACACCCTGGCCCGTAGGAAAATACTCTGTGGAAGAACTTGCTGATAAATTTTGTCACTTAGACCTTCCCTGCTGGATGGGCAGAGGTGGGTGGCCTGCCCACAATGAGGAGGAGGCCTTCATGTAGCGGGGCTGGCAGCTGCCAGGAATGGCCTGATGGCTGCAGTGCTGCTGGATCCAGCCGCACATCTCCCCATTGCCTCTCTGGGCAGGCTGGGCTCAGGACGAAGTCACAGCGTCCAAGGATCCCACCGCTCCCAGGGGCAGGTCACTCCACAGCCTTGCAGAAGCCTCCTAGGCCATGCAGAAGTTTGCGGCAAGAGCAGGCTGGTTGCAGAGAGGCAGCTGAGTTTCCCATGGTGCCTGCCAGGGTGCGGGTATCTGGATCTTTGGGTTGCTCCAACTCAGCCCCAAGACTCTGCAGCAGAGCAGATGGGGACCAGTTTGTGGTCTGGACCCCACACTTGGAGGGCATCAGGTTGGGGAATCTGGTGAGTTTTATACAAAACATCAACTTCTGCGGATTCCCCTGTGGCACGTTTTCACACAGCATGGAGGCCTGCAGGTGACCTGCTCATGGTTTGCTGTAACAGAAACAAGGAAGCGGTGCAGGGGATGGGTAGTCCTTGGGGTGGGACACAGCTGCCAGCTCACCAAAGGGCATGTCAGCCAGTGTGGGTTTGACAGCTGACCACACTACCTTGTAACTGTGCAACCCCCTCTGTACGGCTGCAAGTACCTGTGCGTGGCCAGCGCACAGGGGCTGGGGGAAGCGGGGGCAGTGGCGGATCTGCAGAGGGCAGGGAGTTACTTACAGAATCTTCAGGCTGTAGAGGCCAGAGAAAGCTTCCCCTGGGATCCTGGAGATCTGGTTTCCAGAGAGGCGCCTACAGTGAAAAGAAGAGCCAGTAATGTGTCAACATCCTTGTAATGACAGTCTCTTGTCTGCAGAGGCTTAACAATTCTTGCCACAGGCTGCTTGGGCAGGAGGCTGCAGCACCTGCAAACTGAGCCGTGGCCAGGCGTTTGGGCAACTTTTGCATATCATCCCCTTTTACAGCATCAGGAACAGGTCAAGAAAACAATGCCAGACCTGCATCCAGCTTTTTCAGCATTGGGCTGATACCTGCAGAGGACTCCACTCCACAGACTTTACAGCACAGGCTGCCCGTAAGAGGGGCTTCTGCTCCAGGGCACCAACCAACCTACAGACCCTGCTCTATGCCAGATGCCTGGAGCAAGGGGATTGCTACTTTATGCTCATGAGTGGTCCTGGGAGGACTATCCCTAAATCACAGACCCATTGTCTGCATGGGATCCGTTTCTACATCTAGCAGGTTCTCCTTTTTCCTGTCAATCAAAGCTTGATGCCATTTGATCTTCTTCTGCTCTCTCATTCCCAGCTCTGATTTGACCTGTGTGATCCCAGCTAAGGCCCAGCTTCTTCAACATGTGACAATTTGGTATCACTGCTGCAAGGGGAAACCAGGGAAGGGGCTAGAGATGGCAAGTACCATGCAGGTGTCACACTAGAGCGAGCTCGTCTGAGTATGGTTTCCAAAACTGGGACAGAAAAGTCAAAAGTGGTTCTTAGATGAGTTATGGCTGGAGAAAACCATAGGATAGGGACAATGAAGCCTGGGAAGTCTGATGGATAAAGATGAATGTGAAGGGATGGGAGTGGAAGACAAAGTGAAGAACAGTGTCACGAAGGAAGGTGGGACCATTGGAGTCTGGTTGGTAACAACATTTAGAATTGTCTGGACTCGATGATACCTGAGGTCTTTTCCAGCCTCAATAATTCTGTGATTCTGTGAATTTACCCAAGCAAACCTGCGGGATTCACTGTTGTGCAGTGTTATCTGATGAGAGCACTCAAATTTTACCAAAGCCCAGAGCAGGCTGGGGCATTAACAGGTATTTTGATTTTTCATGGATATTGGAAACTGCATCAGTACTACCAGCAGTTTCACTGATGAGGACAGTGGTCCTGAGAGACCATGGTGGGAGCCTGTGGTGGAGCCAGGAGTAAAGCTCAGGACTCTTGAGTCTAGGCTTGACATAAGGAGAATCTCTTTCTCCTCCTATTTCTCCCATGAGGACCAACATGGACCAAGTCCCAGGGCCCATCAGCCAGAAAACATGAAGACAGGTGTGACAAGCTGATTAAGACCCCAAATTACTACTGCATTTGTGCTTACTTTCTGATCCACAAGTGGTCAAGGTTGGACTTCTCCATAGTCACAGCGTAAGAAACTTGTCTGCTTGACTTGGGAGAGGAATACTGCATCTCCCAAAAGGAGACAATGAGCAACATTCGTGATCAGGCTCATCCTCACTCTCCCAGAAGGTCCAAACCAGGCCCAAGAGGTCACACACAGACACTGGCAAGCTTGTTGTACTCATTTAGCATTACCAAACCTTGTTTCTTTTTAGACTTTTTGTTTGTGAAGGAGACAGGTGTCAAGGATGAGCGGTGTGATCCAGGCTGGAAGCAGAGTGCACTGCTGTGAGCACCCTGACAAGGTCACAGAGAGGATCTGAGCTGGTTTTGGGACCCACACTCACCGGTGGAAGAGCAGGCATGTGTGGGTGCCCGAGCTCTTTCCTTCACTATCTCTCCCCTCGGGAATCTAGAGAAAATTGCTCCCATAATTAGGCCTCCGACAGCATAAACAGCACAGGGTCGTTTCTTTAATGTGTGTGAGCAGGTTGTAACCTGCCTCTCTGCAGTATGCAAGCCGCCTGGCAGGCTGGGCTATTTGTCACTTGGGGGCTGTGATTTGGGGTAATTGCTCCTTTTGATTGCTGATTTCCACATGGGAGGAAGGGTTGTCCAGGAGACTGGAGCGCTCGCCTGGAGGGCAGGTGTTCCTGCACGGCATCCTCAGCCTGCTCCCAGCATCCTTCCTACCAGGCTGCACTTGCTCTGCAGGGGGGTTGTCTGTCCTCACCTCCCTTGAGCTCCTGCTTGCCCCCATGCCTTCGCTGGCAGCAGTCTACATGTATTCATGGTTAAATGTGCCTCTTGACTTGTCTCCTGGCAGCTCCGCACTTTTGTGTTCACTTTTCTGGGTGTGTTTGAGTGTTTGCCAATTCCTTAAATGGCTCTGGGACCTCCAGGATTAGCAGGAGAGGAGTGTGGAGCTTGGATGGAGCCCAGGTTTGGGCTCCTGGCCTCAGAACGGGATGGCAGGGAGCCCCGTATGCCAGTGGGACATGTGCTGAGCCAGCTTGTGGCATCTCAGCATCACGGGCAAAACAGAATGTGAGGGGAAAAAAACAACTCTGTGGGAGATGCCCTGGTTTCACTGGGTACTGCCTCTAGGCAAATTTAGAGGCACAAAACAACCCTCAGCCCCAGGAAAGGCAACTGTGTCTCCCTGTTGCTTCTGCCTCTGTCCTTGGCCCTGCCACACTGAGGCTATGCTGTGTCCCTGGCTCACCTCTGGCCTCTGGCTCTCCTCTCTCTCCCTTCACCTCCTTCCTGATGCCAGGGCAGCCCAGCTCCTCTCCCCAAGGCATAGAGATCCATGCCAAGCCAAAGAGTAGGCACAAAAGGAGGCACCAGCCACAACCACTTCACTCAAGCCACCTCCCAAGGCAATGGCCAGTGCTGTTGGGGTCCAAGATGGGCTCTCTCACTTGTATGCAGAGACTGGGAGGTAGGAGATGTCTGTGTTCATGCTAACAGGATGAGGTTTTGCTTTCCTAGAAGGCATGGCTGGGATATGAACACAAGGTCTAGAGGTGTGGACTTTGAAGTTTTGCTATATACCTCCCAGGACAGGAGCTGCATGATGCTGTGAGTGGTACCCAGGTGTCCTGGGCAAGGGAGAACATCTGTCTCATCTCCCCAAGAGTCAGTCAGGAGTGAGTAGGTCTTCTGGGGTGTCCTGTTCAACAGGAGGAGTGGGAAGAGATGCCTACTTACATGTCATTAGTGCCTGTGCCAGTTCATGTAAGAGACCCAAGACACAAGACTCCCTGTGTGTGATTCTTCCTCTGTCCCTGGTCACTTGGCAATCTCCCTAGTGCTTGGTTTCCTCTGTCCCTCTCATTCAAACTCTCCAGAAATCTCCCAGCCTTGCAGACAGACACTCATTGATCATATCTCCAAAAGCCAGATCCCACTGAAATCATAGAATCATAGACTGGCCTAGGCTGGAAGGGACCTTAGAGCTCATCTAGTCCAACCTCCCTGTCATGGGCAGGGACGCCTCTCAACTAGATCATGATACTCAAGGCTCTGTCCAACCTGGCCTTGAACACCTCCAGGGAGGGGGCAGCCACAACATCTCTGGGCAATTTATTCCAAAGTCTTGCCGCCCTTGTACTGAAGAATTTCTTCCTAAGGGCCAGTCTAGATCTATTCTCATTCAACTTAAACCCATTTCCCCTTGTCCTATCAGTGGACACTCTTGTAAAAAGTCCCTCCTCAGCCTTCCTGTCGGTTCCCTTCAGGTACTGGAAGACGGCTATTAGGGCCCCCCAAAGTCTTCTCTTTTCCAGACTGAACACCCCCAGCTCCCGCAGCCTGTCCTCATAGCAGAGCTGCTCCAGTCCCTGGATCATCCTTGTGGCCTCCTCTGAACACGCTCCAACAGATCCACATCCCTCCTGTCTATTTAAAAGGGAATAATAACATCTGAAGTGATGCAGAAGACTGGATGCAGAAGACTCCCCATCAAGAAGGACTGAGAGGTGGCATTCTCTTGTACCCTAAGCACAGTCAGGGAAAAGATGCTGCTCTTGCAGGGGTGAATGTCTGGTCCACAGCACAGAGCTCTACTCCAGGCCTGCTCAGGTCTCTTTTTAGAACAGGCAGACTTGATTCAGCTGTGAGTAGGCTGGGGAGAAAGGGAAAGCTCTGGATTTCAAGTGACCAGTGGAAGTGGGAGAGAAGGGGCAGGTGGAAGGGGAGGTCGGGAGCTGGAACTGACTGGCTTGCTTTGGAAAGCTCGCGTGTTTGGTGGATTTTAGATTTTGCTCCCCCCTCCCCACCCCACTCCCGTGATTTCTGGAAACATTCCTGCAGGCTTTGATCTGCATTCCCAATAGACTCCAAGTTGGAACAAACTCATGGTTTACCACCTCATGGTTGCAGCAGTTCAGTTACCACAGGCTCCCACCCCCTCCTGTGTCTTGGGCTTCTTGGTCATGCTACAACTTCCTTGGCATGCCCAAAGGCTGTTTGTTGGGCATGATTGCTCCTGCCATGTGCTCAGGCAGCATGATGATGCTCTTATCATTCACATTACGAGGCAGGAACATTGCCCATTGGCAGGACAGGACAAACATGTGTGTCCATATCCCAGTGGAATTTTCCCCTTGCCAGATCTTTGTTGAGCATGTCAGCCTCTCTTTGATCTCTGACTCTGGATCATTTCTCAAGCACTAACATTTTCAAGGCAGAATCTGTGCCCAGATAAACTCCTCCTGCCTAAACAGTGTCATCACACCAAGACTGTGCCATCCCCTGGGCGCAGAGGACCAAGGGCTCCATGTTATGCTTGAGTGTGTTCTTGTGCTGGTGTAAAAGAGGAATGAAGTCAATTAAGTCATGCAAGTGAAAACATGGTACATTTGACAAAACAGCCAGACTTGGACTCTCCCTTCCCACACAGGAATCTGCAGCTGATCCTGGTCTGGTATCACCTGGAGACGTCTCTAACGTGGTCTTTACTGCTTGACTCCATCCCAGAGGAAGAGACTACACAGGCCTGTTTCTAACTCTGCTCTTCGAACCCCCACCGAATGCCTGTTCCAACTCGATATATTGATGGCATTCGTTTCTTTTGTTTATGGTCCTCAAGCCAGCTTTCAACCCACACAAATGTTCATATGCGAGCTAGCTTGGATTCGATTGCCAAGTAAGTTTTAATAA